TAATTACTAGTGTATTGCTATGAGTTAATATTCTTTTTAGAATCAACCACTAAACCCTTTTTCTTTGATAATCTTATATTATCAAATATACTTGTATCATAACAAGTAATAATAACATCTTTATAAATACATATTCGTTTATTGTCAATGATATTCTGTCATTGTAATTAATAATCACTGTTATTCTTGTAGTATTGATTATGATGTTTTTCAATTAAATGCACATCATAACCAGTCAATAACTGGTATATTTGAATGATGATAATATTTTAGGATTCTGTGTGGTGTCTCTGACGTGCTACCTTCGAACCAAAAATTAAAATATAAAATAAAATGAAATATTTAATAATTATGAATTTATTAAAAATAAAAATAATTATCATTTTATTTTATTTCTTATTATTTATTGTTTTTCATAACAAATATCAATTAATAAAAATAGAATGATGATAAAGAATAAAAAAGAAGAAATTAAAATATAAAAATAAAAGAACTAATAAAAACAACTAATAAATAATAAATCAATAATGAAATTAGGATATAATGAAATAATGATAACATCAAAGTATTTTAATGATATTAATGATTTTATTAATTTAGAAATTGGAGTTAAAAGATTTCAAGGAAATATTGAACGATTTCATTTTAATCCAATTCCATTAGATTATTATTCAAGAAAATTATTTACTAATATTGAAACATTTCATATTTATAATGAAGAAGATGAAATATTTAATAATGGAAAAATATTTAAAAAGGTAATATGGTATACAGTAAGTTATTCAAAATATTTAAAAGAAAAAGAACAAGGAAATATCTGTAAAAATATAATGTATACAAATTGTGATAGAAATAAATATGGAACTACAATACCATCAGAAGTTAAATCACTTGGATATAGGTGTTTTGATGAATGTATATCATTAAAATCAATTAATATACCATCATCAATTAGTAAAATAGGAGGTGAATGTTTTAATGAATGCAAATCATTAACATCAATTAATATACCATCATCAATTATTGAAATAGGATATGATTGTTTTAAAGGATGTTCATCATTAACATCAATTAATATACCATCATCTGTTATATCAATAGAATGTTGGTGTTTTAAAAGATGTTCATCATTAATATCTATGAATATAGAAAATTTTCATTTTATTAGTGAAAAAAGAATATTTATGAATGAACCAGTGTTAGTTAGTACTGAAATACCAGAAAATCTACAGATAGTCAATGGAAAGAATATTGAAAAGAAAGATATTAATGAATTTATTATTCCATCATCAATTAGTGAAATAGAAGATGGTTGTTTTTATGAATGTTCATCATTAAAATCAATTATTATTCCATCTTCAATTACCAAATTAGGAGATTGGTGTTTTAAAGGATGTTATTCATTAACATCAATTAATATACCATCATCAATTAAAGAAATAGGAGATTATTGTTTTTATTTATGTAAATCATTAACATCAATTAATATACCATCATCAATTACTAAATTAGGTGATTATTGTTTTTGTGAATGTTCATCATTAAAATCAATTAATATACCAAAATCAATTACATCATTTGGAGATGGATGTTTTTATGAATGTGGATGTGAAGAAGAGTTAATGAAAAATAAAAGAATACCAAGAGATTGCTTTAACAAATGATGATGAATGAAATAAAAATATAATAAAAGAAATACAATATAATTTAAAGTAGAAATAAATTATAATTGATTATCATTTGTATTATTATTATTATTCTTTTCTTATTTATTCTTTTTGATATTATTCTTTTTTATTGTG